AACTATTAATTAAATTTATTTTTAAACAATTGAAATTGTTGCTGAAATAGGGTTAAAAATAGTAATGAACTAAATGTTGCTTTATAAATTTATCAAAAGGAATTTTACTAATTAATTATCTTATCCGGTTCTCATCCGGTAAAAATATCATTTATCTTCCATTTCAGGAATTTAATAATATGGATAAAGGTTTCTTTTCCACATAGTAATAAAGCTTTTATTATAATTGAAATTTCCATCTCATCCCTTTTTTTTTCCATTCATTTTCTTTTTTCCTCCAAATAATGGTTTATTGAGTAGAAAATTTAGGATTTATGTGAGAAGTTTATCATTGAGATATTGACATTTGCATTAAACAAGAAAATGAAATGCAATAACAGCTGGATTTATCAGTAAGAATGATCTTCCATTTACATAATGATCAAACAAGTGAGACTTACAGCCTAAGAAATTGAAATGATTAGGAAAAAAAAAAAGAAAGAAAACTGAATAAGCTAAGTGAAGAGAAATTGAAACAAGTAACAAGATAATATTTTATTAATAATTTGTAAATATTTCAGGATATTATCATTGTAGTAAAAGTGAATTCATTAGCTAGCTAACTTGTCAGTTTTCTTTCCTTAGAATAAATTAATTTTGTATAACTTTGCACAAATTTGATTTCATCAGGTTTTCCGGTTTCCTTTTATTTACATCATTTCTTCATTTATTCTTTTGATCCTTTTTTAAGTATACAGTTTAATCGTTACAAGAATAGAAAGAACAAATTGTAGTAAATTTTCCATAAGTTATTCATCTCACGAGTAAACTTCATGCAGTATCATAAGTAGATTAGTATTATTTACCACTAAATGGGAATATGATCACATATATAATCAAAATAAAACATGAGATGAGAAAATACTAAAATACTTTATTAATTACTTTAATTGTTAATAATAAGAGTAAGTTCCCCATTAGAAATATTATTTAAGTTTAACTTTTCGATTGCTCTATGAATATTTTGATTAAAAGATTTTCTAGCAATTAATTGCTCAATTTTTTGTTCTTAATCAAAAAATCAGTTGACGTTTTTCAATCCTAAAATATTGGAACAATAATTGGAAAAGAATGGAGATGCAAAAATATTAGTAGTGACATGTGTCATTTGAAGTTTATTGTCTTTTTAAAATTCTAAATTGACAGCATATAAAATTGAAAAATGGACAAGAAAGTTAGTGTGAGATGATTTTTTGAATCTCCCTCCTTATCATTAATAACATTGATATAAGAAAAATTTTCAAAATTTCCGTAATATGACATCATTTTGTTGCTTTTATTATTGCTAGAAAATTATATTTATTTTAATCAATGAAGATTTTTAATTTCTCTATAGTGACCATACAAGATGCAGTTAATTACTTTTTCAGTTTTTTT